TTCCAAGCCTAAAGTCTCAGTAGCGCGTTGGGTGCTTGCATCTTGGCTGTGCACTTCCAAAACAACTCGGGCGTCCGCCACTCAAGAGACTGTAATACAGCGTGTGCTTCTGCCTCGTTGGTCTAGTGCTCGTAAGCGCGAATATTGATCATGAGCTATCGGGTTCGAATCTCGGGTCAGGCCATAATCAGTTATTGTGTTTTACTGTCAAGAAATTCTCGGTAGCAGCCGGAAGTCAGGAAGGTGTCGGTGGTTTTACCCCCGTACCTCGGAAAACACGAAGAGCTGTCGAAACTGTGCCTGATCTCTTCGGTCGTGTCGGATTGCTGACCTATCGGACTATGAATGGGAGGCAATAGAGAGCACCTGTGTTTGCGCACACACTTCTGCACTAAAATTCTGTCCTGCGCAGATGGCTATTCTGTAATAATTTCTTTTGTTTACGCGAACACTATACATATAAATAAAACTAATTTTTAAGTATTTTATCGCGTATATTGACTTATTTTAAATTTACGTCGTTTTGTGTACTTTACAGCATCCACGATGAAATCCGTAAAATTTATTTTTATTTAAGTGTCTATTCTCTATTGAGACTGGCCGCCGTAACCGAAACTCGATCTCAAGCTTATAATCTTATAATCATTACAACAGTATGCGTTTGTCTCGATGTAACACTATACGCTCCGAAAATTAAACTTTAGAATATAGTTTATTATGTAAATCGTATTTATTTCTCAACGTAATCGCCTTTTAAGCTAATACACCTTGAATAGCGTTTTGTAAGTTGGTTGATTCCCTTGGAAAAAAAGGTATCACCACATCGTCGCCTCCGAATTTTATACCGGTGAAAATCTACGTAATGTCCAGAGAATATGGTGGGAGGTGTATCAACTGAAATGCAGCAGTTTGGATGACAGCGCCTGCAATATTAGATCGATTAGCATTATCTTGACGAAAAAGCACTCCGGCACGCAATTTTCTTCGACGGTTATTTTTTTGATTAATGATGTGAAATAATATACGGTAATTGTCTTTCCCTTACTTAAATAGTTCATCATATTTATACTTTTCTGCCGACTTCCAAAAAGGAGACGGTACTCAATTCGACTGTATGTTTTTTTTATGTGTTTTACCTCATAATTGCATCCCTGAAGAATGAGGCCATTATTTTTTTAGCGAAAGCAGACACCTTGAATCTCTTGGCTGACGGGGAAGACGATCTTTTCTACACTTTACTTTGGTTTTTCGTCTCCGGGTCAAAATGATGTACCCACGTTTCATTCACGATTACGAAACGAGCGCAAAAACATCTGGATCTTCTTCTATTATTGCTAAATTTAGCTTTAAAATGTCAACTCTTGCTTTCTTTTGGGCGTCTGTTACCATTCGAGGAACCCAGCGCGTGGCCAACTTTTTGAATTTTAAGGTATGAGTTAAAATAAACTGAGTTGTCCCAAACGAAAGCTTTAGAATCTCAACTAAACAACGGATGGTCACACATCAATCTGCCTTAACAATTTCTTCGATTTTTTTAACGTTTTCTACTGACTTCAAAAACAAAGGAGGTACTCAATTCGACTGTTGTTTTTTATGTGTGTTACCACTCACAACTTTTTCTGGGTGAACCGATTTCGATGATTGTTTTTTTATTTAAAAGCTGATGCTTCTCCTGTGGTTCTATATGAATTTGATCAACGTCTGACCAATAGTTTTTGAGTTATTCTTAATAATTTATATTGAAGTTGGTACAAAAGTTTTAATTTCTAATTATCTTGCGTCTTAGCGACCGTTGTTGGTCGCCCGGAACGAGGATTTAGCGCACCAGTATGCCACTGTGGAATAAGATGGACGATTGTTTGCCAAAGTAGCCATTCTTCAGAAACCCTGTTTGTTGAAATTTTTGCAGGCATAAATATTTTATAACCGCGCGAAGTTTGAGTTTCTGCTTTTTGCGTAAGAATCAAATTCCCGCCAAATGTGAAATTAGAAAAAAAGGGTAGGTTTTTAATTTAAAGTTCTTTGACCTAGGCTACCAACGAAATCAAGATTCGAAAAAATAGATCGCATTTCTATAACTCATTAAAGTGTCCAATTCCAAAAACTTATTGTTCAACCTAGTATAACCTATTTAATAAAAAACAACAATTATCAAAATCGTTTAACAATTAACCAAGATTTCACGAACATATACATGCACACAAAACGAACAGTCGAGAACCCCTCATTTGTTGAAGTTTTAAAAAAGAAAAAAGTCATATATAAAAAAGTTTATGACCACTATGAAACATTGAAGTGTATTAGTGGCCTTGTGTGCATTTAACAACGCCAACCGTTGTTTACCGCTTCTTAAATTTTCTATGGATTCTGAAACAATTTCCCTCGGGGTGTCTTTCAATTTTAATAATGCTCGAAGGGAAACAAGTATTTTGAAAATTAAAATGTAATAATAATACTGTAAACACAATTTTTAAAGAAAATTGGAATTTAATTCTTAAGGTAATTAATTTTGATCGTTTTATGATCCAACTGGTAAAATAATCAATTCCATCCATATATTCATCACAACCTATAAAAGTTCACTGCTGAACATAGACCTCACTCGTATAGATATCACGATAGACCTCATATGGAAGATTATTCTTGAGTTGGCACGTTTGGCAGACGGGTCAGCAACCACAGTAATCATCACTTTTAGTATCTCTCTGTCTGCCTTTTAGTTACCACCTGTCCTCGAATACGAATCAAAATATCAAAATGCAAATATGTTGTCTCCACTAAGGACGAAGACGGAACGCTTCGTTAATAGTAAAAAGGTTATTCGGTTCTCGTATCTTATCGTACGAAATACACAAGCATTATGCTATTACAGGGGACCCTGGTGATCTGGCCCCTGGTTAATCCGCACCCACTTGTACGGGTGGAGGTGACTTTCGCGAGTACGTGGACAAACAGGTTGCAATGAGGGCATCCACGAGTTTTTCTGCCACCAGGGCGGTGCCTCTAGAAAGTGATTTCATAGTGAGGAAGTTAATTTGTTCAGAAAATGTAAAACTTATTGTTTCTTTTTATACTATTAGCTATATTTTAATAATATTAAAAATAAATAAACCAAATCACAAGATTGGCATCGCCCCAATCGGAGACTGCCTGTAATGTGAGATTCAGACGCTCTACCATAGCTTTTCTTTCGGACTGGATTTGATCCCGACTGGCCCGAGGACTTGGTTGGTATCTCTCAACAACTGTGCTATCGTCTGCATACCCATAGATACCGGGCATAAGCAGATCATTAATATGCAGCGGAGAGAACGGACCCCTGAGGAACACCGGCGTTAGTCACCATAGGATCGGATGAGCAGCCATCGACGACGACCCGGAGAGACCGTTCACTCAGAAAGTCTTTTACCCATTCAATCAGACCAGGGGATAAGCCGTACGCTGGAAGCTTACCCAAAAGACTAGGATGCCAAACTCTGTCAAAGGCCTTCGAGACATCAAAGGAAACACAAACGTGTCTCTTCACTGCAAAAAGGAGCCAGCTCACCTTGGCTCCTTCTTTCCGAAATGTATCACTGAAATATACCGACCGCCTTCAGTTGTTAGGGTTTGAAATATACTCAAATTTGAACTTCGGGCGGTTCATTGAGTCCAAGGCCAAAGCAGCTGCAAGGAAGCTGGGAGTTCTTGCAAAGGTGCGGCGATACTTCACGCCGGGACAGCTGCTTACTTTATATAAAGCACAAGTCCGGTCGTGCATGGAGTATTGCTGCCATATATGGGCTGGTGCTGCAAAATGCCACATAGCAGCTTTGGACACAATGGAAAGGCGTGCTAAGAGGCTTATTGGTGACCCGAATTTGGTTAAAACCAATCTTACCAACCTCGAACACAGACGTAAAGTAGCCAGCCTTTCGGTTTTCTACAGGATGCATTTCGGAGAGTGTGCGCAGGAATTACATAATTTAATTCCACCTTCTCCCTTCCACCATCGGACAACCAGACGTTCGGCCAGTCTCCACCCTTTCGTTGTTGACTTACCACGCATTCGATGGTTCGCCACGTCGTTCATCATGCGTACAGCAAAGGAGTGGAATAAGTTGCCAGCATCTGTCTTTCCATCCGATTACAGTGTGGGTGTCTTCAAGGCAAGAGTGAATAGGCTTTTGTTAAGTCAGTGCGCTTCACCATGTTAGGCTACATCACCACTTACCATCAGGTGGGATCGTAGATAAGCGCTGGCTTAGTAGAATATAAAAAAACAGATATTCATAAAAGTAGAAAAATTAAAAAAGTTAAAAATGTGCAAAAATTTGAAGAGCATACCACTGACACATTGTTTTGTGTATTATTATAATTCCCTAGAAACTAATAAATTTTTATTAAAAAACAATTCCTCAATTAAATGACACTGTGTATCTAACAAAAAACTTTACCTCAGTGTCAACTAGCCACATCTGGTGAGCAGAAAATTATTAGCCCTCATTATAGTTAGCGCCACCACGAATCTAGCTTAATTATTATTGCGCGTATTGTCTAAGTTTAAATGTGACCATGGTAGCGGTATAGCGGGCATTCATTATTTATTGTTTTATATTTTATTATTTTATATTTGATATGTAATTTGTCGGATTACAAGGTTCTCTTTTTCCAAAAAGTTCTGGACTAACAGGGGGCTGTGGCAGTACTCTATAGTCCGAAAAATTTGATAATCCGACACCGCCTTGCAAAACTTTTGTCGGATTACCGCAGTGTTTCACTCTGTTATTCTTCACGAATGTGTTAATTCCCCGGTCGAGCCGATCCATTTGTACTGCAGTCATAATGCAGTGTAATTCTACCACGTAAAAAAGTATTGAAAATAACCGATATTGCGATGTGAGATTATAAAACCAATGTCTTACTTTATTCTATTTATCAACATATAAATAATTATTAGGTATTTCTTTCTGGTGAAAGATATTAAAGAAATGTTATTAATACATGTTTATTTATTGCAGATGGTCCACACAATGATGCCTATAGCGCGCGCTATCGCTCTAGCCATGTCTGCAGCTTTGACCCTGGCTTATATGGGTCTCGCTATAGGATTAGGACCTGAGGGCGAGGAAGTGCAGTTTTATCGGCAGGTTTGTAGTATTATTTTCCGCAGAGTTCATATAATTAATGTTGCCATATGTGTAAAAATAAGTTCTGTAAGTTTTTTTTCTAATAAAAAAAGTTAAAAATCTATTTTGTAAAAATCTGTCTATTATTTATCCATTTGTGAAAATTTTTATTACATTGTGACTTACATATGCATTATATGTGTTAGTTTTCTTGTTATTAATAAATTAATAAATACTATGTAAACTGTATCCAGAATACCAGCGTATAATGGCAGCTTGAGACTGCTGTGTTTCGTATGGTGAGTGTAGAGAACCGGAGACCCATTTTACTGGAAAAAGGCATTCCATCCAAATGCAAATGCGTCGTCACCCGTGAGGACTAACTAAAAATTGATTCTTTATTGACGATAAATGTAGATGTCTATGGGTCACAGCAACCACTTAACATCAGGTGGACTGTGTGATCCTTTGTCACCCTATCCTATAAAAAAATATATATTCAATTTATATGTTCATCTTTAATTAAAATTAATTATTTATGCGTTGAAATTTTGCATGGTTAAAAGGGAAGCATTATCATATAAATTATCATCTAGTTAGTAGAAACTAATAAAATTGTTAAAATATTACACACTTATTTGTTATTATTACAAATTTGTACTTTAATAAGTCCCTTATAATTTTTTTTATAATGGATAAGATTTTTTAATTTATACTGCGCCTGACAGTTTGCAATAAGCAAAGTTATGCGGTCGCAAGTTTTAAGCTTGAAACTTTACTAAGGAATTGCATACAATAATAATTATTCCAAAAATGCTAAAAACCTAAATAGATTTATTCGCGATAATAATTTAGTTACAATAACAGCATTTGCAACTTTTTGTTCTCTGCTTATTATATATACTTAAATAATTAAAATATTTTATTAAAATATCTATTTTAACGTTAATTTGGCATTCGGGTCTTAGATAGTTGTTTTTCATAGCTTTAATATAACCTTCGCAAAGTCACGCCTGATTCTATTTACTAAGTATAATACTAGAAAAGCTTATTAATAACATGTTTTTTTTTATAGAATAAGGGTGACAAACGAGCACACAATTCACCTGATGGTAATTGGATGCAGTGGCCCATAGACAACTAAGTATATTTTATCCTCAATTAAAAATCAAAATTCAAATGCGTTGTCACCCTTGAGGACTATAAGATGGAATGCCTAATTTCCAGTAAAAAGGTTCTCCGGTTCAATACATTCACCATACGAAACACAGCAGCGATAAACTGCTATGTTACGCTGACTGTGTTAATATTATTGTTTACAATATAAATACAATAATGGAAGTTATAATTATTGTGTTTAAAAACTTTATTCATTTAATAGCTCGTCTGTGAACTGGCTCTTCTTCTGTCAGCGAGCGGGATAGGCCTTTACTATCGTGTGCTTACGGAGCGGGCTCACCGGAACACGTTCGCCGGGACAAGAACATGTCTCGAGCAGCGTGTTAAGCTGGAATGCGAGCGAGAACAGCAGGAGCGACTTTTGCTGTCTGTCATCCCGGCTTACATAGCCGCTGAGGTAAGGTTTCACAGATAACTTGCAATGAAATATGTCTTTTTTAAATTCGTGGCAACCTAGCGATTACTGCCAACCTTCAGTCAAAAATTACTACTTGTAAGAAAACGACGAAAGATATATATGAAAACTGTGATTCAGGTTAATAACCGAAATCATATTTTGAACTAATGAAATATGAAATAAGTTATACCCGTGTTTAATATTAAGTACCTATATTTAATTAAAATAAAACTAAACTTATTATCACATTTTAAATATTTATTAACACTGGTTAAGACTATTGAACTTAATATTATTTGTATCTGAATATTCCAAGGCAATTAAAAACCTTACTTTTTTTATGAAAATTAAAAGAGAACGTATTTCTATAGGAACAATAGTTTTACTAAAGTGCTAAATATTAAAGTATGATCATATAAAAGACAAAAATAAATATGGTTGAGGTGACCAATGACTCAACTACACTGATATATTGAAGAATCTTTAATATGAATCCTAGCGAGGTGAACCGAGTAATACCAGTGACCCAAGCGCATTCTACATATTTTAGCATTGTTGTATGTTATGCTTTCTTATATTTAAGCGAATACTATTATGGATTTTATCGAGTTTAAAGCACTTACTGCACGCTTTACAATGTTCTATTCTCGACGTTTCGAAATTGTGAGTCGAGTGAATTAAACGGGATTAAATCCGTAAAAATAATTTTATTCAATTGTGGTATTTATGTTACCTACTTAAGGATAATTTGTAAAAATATGTCGACTACGTTTGTGACGTATTTAATTTGAAGAGTAAATAATGTCGTGTGCTCACGAGGTAAGTCAGTTGCTAAGCTTTAAATTGGACAAGTATATTGTTAAAGAATCCGTTTGTTAAATTGATTATTTACTAAGTCATTTTTGTAACTTCATATTTCCCAATTCGAAAACGCAAATATATTCAAAGTCGACTGATTTTTTGAGCGTTTAAGAATGCTACGTGACTCTACATAGGGTCATAGGGTATACTTAAGTATCTATTATTTTTTAATAAATATTATATTCAGAATATCTATACAAACATACATATACATCTATAGAAATAAATAAAATTGAAGTGTCTGTTTGCAATATCAAATTAAAAGCATTCAACCAAATTCATTTCAACAGTGGTAGAGCCAAGCGGTAGCTTTTGCTGTCGCACTGATGGGCCAGCTCGAACCGGGGTGGTACCACGACCTCACAGAATACCAGGGTGATTTAGAGGTTTACCTCTGCGTTGCGCTTGGTGAGTGCAGGTGGCCGGAGGCCATAATCCCCCCCCCCCATCAACATGGTAGTGGAATTAAATAAAAGACCCCTCGCTGAGCGTCCACGACCAAATTACTTCACTCCTGAGTGTGGGTGCTCAGGCTGCCCCGCGTATTCTGGGGGAGGGGGGGAGGGTAAAATAACGCTCGCGACTAATGCTGCTCAGGGCAAGCGGAGCAATACAACCAAGGCGACCCCTGTCACGCTATCCGTGAATTTTTGCAACATCAGGGGACTTCATTCCAACCTTAACACTATCCATTACCATCTAGAGACGGCGAATCCGGCCTTGCTCTTTTTAACCGAGACTCAGGTGTCCTCTCCGGCTGATACTTCATATCTCTCCTACCCGGGGTACAAATTGGAACACTCCTTTGTGCCCCGGGCTGGAGTTTGCGTATACGTCAGAGAGGACATCTGTTTTTGACGCCTCGGCAGTCTTGAAGGTACGGAGCTGTCCATCCTATGGCTGCGCGTAGACAGCGACGACCATCCCCGCGTCTATGGGTGCCTCTATAGGTCCCATAGCGGTAATGCCGACACAGACCGACTCATCGACCACGTCCAAATGACTGCAGACTCCGCGCTACAACAGGTCCCATCCGCAGAGATCGTGATACTCGGTGATTTTAACGCCCACCACGCTGAATGGCTTGGTTCTCGTTTAACCGATCATGCGGGTAGATCTGTTTATGACTTTGCTTCGGCATATGGTCTAACACAACTGGTTACTTCGCCTACGCGGATCCCAGATGTGGAAGACCATGTACCTTTCCTGTTGGACCTTCTGCTAACCTCTCATCCGGACGGTTATCAGGTTATCTGTGGTTATCTCTGGGCTCTTCGGACCATTGTCTGATCCGGAGTACGGTGCCACTCACGCTCCAATCGCAGTTGCGATCTACAGCCTGCCGCCGTGTTTGGCACTATAGATCAGCTGATTGGGACGGGATGCGGTCTTTTTTTGCATCCTACCCTTGAGGGCGGGTTTGCTTCTCGCCGGAAGATCCCAGCGTTGTTGCCGATTCTGTTGCTGATGTGGTACTTCAAGGTATGGAACTTTTTATTCTATCCTCTGTGGTGCCCATCTGAGGCAGATCTCAGCCATGGTTTGGTCGCTCCTGTTAAATAGCATCACACTATAACCAGGAGTGCTACCGGGCCTGAGCTGACGCATCAACGTCTCGGGATGTAAGCACCAGTGCACTTAAAAAGAAGTATAATTCCGCCTCCAGGTCCTTCAAAAGCGTCATTGCCAAGGCAAGGTTTGAGCACAGCGGCAGAATTGGCGAGAAGCTAGTTCGCTTTCCTTCAGGAACCCGTGCATTCTGGTCTCTCGCCAAGGCTGTCCAAGGGAACTTCTGTCAGCCATCTCTTCCATCTCTGCACAGAGAGGACGATTCACTGGCCCATGCCGCAAAGGAGAAAGCCGATCTGTTGAGATCTCTCTTTGCGTCCAACTCGACTCCAGGTGACGGGGGGAACACACCGCCGACCATCCCGCGATGTGAGTGCCCCATGCCGGATGTGCGGTGATCGGTTCGCAAAGCACTCTTCTCCCTGGACGTCAGCAAGTCGAGTGGGCCCGATGGAGTTCCTCCCATTGTGTTGAAGACGTATGCTTCGGAGATTGCGCCGGTTTTAACGCGTATTTTTCGGTACTCCTACTCCCAAGGCGTAGTCCCGAATTCATGGAAGATAGCTTTGGTCCACCCGATCTCTTAAAAAGGTGACCGCTCAGACCCGTCCAATTACAGGCCTATTTCCATCATCTCCTTGTTCTCCAAAATAATGGAATACATTATAAACTGCCAGCTCATGAGGTACCTTGAGGATCACCAGCTGATTAGTGACCGCCAGTACGCTTTTCGTCGGGATCGATCAGCTGGTGATCTTCTAGTCTATCTGACTCATAGATGGGCGGAGGCAGTAGAGTCCAAGGGGGAGGCATTGGCTGTTAGTTTGGACATAGCGAAGGCCTTCGTTCGGGTCTGGCACAAAGCGCTTCTTTCGAAGCTTCATTCCTATGGGCATCCCGAGAAATTGTGCAAATGGATCGCCAGTTTCCTTGCTGATCGGAGCATCAAGGTCGTAGTAGACGATGCATGCTTTGATTTCAAGCCTATCAACGCTGGTGTACCACAAGGCTGCGTGCTATCACCAACGCAGTTTCTCCTGCATATCAATGTTGCTAAACTGGTAGCATTCATTGCTATGCAGACGACAGCACTAGTGATGCCTTATATACCGGCCGTGCCAATATTTCTCGGGAAAACGTCGCCGAGTACCGGGACAAACTTGTGTCTGAAGTCGAGTCTTTGCTGGACAAAGTCTCGGATTGGGAGCGACTAAATCTAGTCCAGTTTAATCCTCAGAAGACACAAGTTTGCGCGTTTATCGCTAAGAAGAACCCCTTTGTCGTATCTCCTCAGTTTCAAGGTACTCCCCTTGTTGCCTCAGCCAGTATCGGAATCCTTGGCGTCGACATATCGAATAGTGTGCAGTTTCGTGGTCACTTGGAAGGGAAGGCCAAATTGGCCTCTAAAAAGCTTGGCGTGCTCAGCAGAGCGAGGCAGTATTTCATGCTGGCAGATCACTTGCAACTTTACAAAGCGCAAATTCGGCCCCACATGGAATACTGTTCTCATCTCTGGGCCAGAGCACCCCAGTGCCAGCTCCTTCCACTTGACCGCATCCAGCGCAGAGCGGTTCGAATCGTCGACGACAGAGTTCTTTCAGATCGGCTCGATATACTGGCACTGCGTGAGATGTTGCATCTCTTTGCGTATTTTATCGCATCTATCACGGGGAGTGCTCTGAGGAATTGTTCGGACTAATTCCAGCCGCTCAATTTCACCATCGCACATCGCGACAAAACTCGCGTTACCATCCATACCACCTGGATGATTGGCGGTCCACCACTGTGCGATTTAGAAGAAGTTTTCTCCCTCGCACAACTTTCTTTTGGAATCAATTACCACCAACAAATTTTTCGGACCGATACGACTTAGGAATCTTCAAGAAAAGACCTTACACCTTTCTAAAAGGCCGACAACGCATCTGCAATTCCCCTGGTGTTGTGGTTGTTCATGGGCGGCTGTAGTCACTTACCATCAGTTGAGCCGCATGCTCGTTTGCCCCCTCTACTATAAAAAAAAATCATAGGAAATTATATACGGTATTTATAACAAAAAACAATTTTTCAAATATTTGTCTGTCTGTTCGTTTGTTCCTGCTAATCTCCGAAATGGCTGGACCGATTTTGACGGGGCTTTCACTGGTAGATAGCTGATGTCATATGGAGTAACTTAGGATACTCTTATTTCAGGAAAAGAATTAGGGTTCCGAGTAAAAAAATTAAAACCAATGAAATCCAATCGTAATGAATTCCACGCGGACGAACTCGCAGGGAATAGCTACTACATAAATAATATTAAAGTGACTGTCTGTAATATAGAAATAAATGGCTTCTTTAAAGGTTAGCAGTCAAAATAATCCAAGTTTTTTGGATAAAATATATCCTAGATTTCTATCTGGTCTTGAAGTCTCATCAAAGTCGGTTTAGCTGTTCCGAAGATTAGCCTTTACAGGCAGACAGACAGATATTTTTTTTACAAATGGCTGTTCATGTATGTTATCATTGGCATGCAAATAACCCCCTGAGCTCGATAAAAGACAGTTATTTCATTATTACGGACAGATACTTCAATTTTATTTATATGTATA